TTAAATTCATAATTATTCTCGGAGAGAGACCAACTCTTATCTGCCCCTGGAAGCCCCGTAATGCATAGCGTCATTTCAACATGGCGGTGTCCGCGACACGGTTTATATGCAGGTAGCGGCGCTGCGGCTGCTTTATATAGCCACTCGTTGCATTCTCCCTCAACCCAAATCCTCGGATCACGCATTTTAGCTAAAACGCTAACGTTAGCTTGCCTTGCGTTGACTGTAGAGTTGTGGGTGATGGTCACGCAGATGTGTCATGAGATTTGAAGCGTTGCTGCCTTTCACAGACACTTTTTCTGCTCGCGCTGCAAACAGGATAGCCGTCTTCCATAAACTCCCTCGGCATTCTTCAAATATCTAAAATATGCCCGTACTTCCGACTTTGTCTTCTTTGAGGGATAAAAAATGTTATCCTGCGTGCTGCCGTCTCCTCCTTATTTCAGCTTTAGCTTCAAGAAAGTTTTGGTTGTAAATAAAGTGCGCATGTGCCGCCGGCACCTTCAGCAGATGATACGGTGGCTGGTAAGGGTCACCGCGCCTACACCGCAGCCACAGTAATCCACCGAGATAATATAGTTTATTTTAAAAACAAGACGGTTATTTTTATTGTCAACTTTTTTTACCGGGGTTTACCGCTACACCGGTTACCGTGACAACCCTATCAGAACATTGATTACATTTATAAAAACTCTGGAAATGGTAGAGCTGTGAACACAAACTGATAAGATAAAAATGATATGGTAAGTTCAGTCTCAGTCTCAGTAATGTTAAGAGTAGCTGTTGAAAACGTGAGGTTTGCGGTGTCTTTAAGGGCTGGCTTTACACCTGATAGCTGTGTAGTCCTGTAAACGCTTCAAGCTTGCCTGTTCAAGAATGTCTGAGTTGAGCTTCTCTTGTAGAGCAAAAGTCTTGTCCTGGAGTTGCTGACACTCAAACTGAAGGGATCTGATGTTCTCTGAAGTTAGTTCTGTTTGACACATTGCATCACATTTTGAGTTGTCAATTATATCATAATTAGCAGGCTCCTTTTCAGTCTCCTCTCTGTCTGCAACGAACACTGATCCGGAGACCTCAGCTGAGAGATTGAGAAGCGATCTGGCAGCTTCATGTCTGGAAGACTCCTCCCTCTTCTTTTTCTTCATGGCCTGTCTCGCTTCATACTTCTTTAGACTTCCTAGAGCTCGCCTTTTAGCAGGGGATTTGATATGTGCAAACACAGATGGCACATAATTGGGTGACAAGGGGTTATCACTCTTCTGCCCTGATAAAAGATATCAGAAATCAGCAACTTAGTCAACCAAAACATAACTGAGATGAGGTAGTCACCACATGCCGTCATATATCTATATCAATAGATTGATCGATAGATAGATAGATATATTATTAGCTACTGATCCAGAAAGGGAGAATTAGATGATATTTTAATGTATTTTTGCTGTATTGACCCTTTGCACGTGACGTCACGCCACTCATGTGACCGCCCCCTTCGCCATGATGGATGGCAAAAAGACCGTTTACGCCCGTAGAAACTCCAGTGAAGCTAGTCAAAACAAGCCAGTTTGTAGCCTTTTATCCTTTTATTTAGTTGACTTGACAGTAAAATGGTTTTAGCTTGCTGCGTGGTCGGCTGCACTAACAGACAAGGATGTAAACTCAACTTTTTTTGGTTTTTTAATAACTTTGATGGAGACTGAGGACGGAGATGAACTGCAGCGATCAATCGAGCTGACTAGCAGCCCTCAGATTTGCAGCGAACACGTTTTTACCGGGTAAGATTAACGTTCATTTATTTCACGAGGAAGACAGGGATAAATGTGATGTTTATACTAGTTATTGATAATCCTGATGGATGGGCATTTCACCACGGAGGTTGCGCTCCGTCCACTGTAGTGTAAAGCGAGATAATTATTAACAATATTAAAGCTCTGATATATGATTGCATGTGTTAAAATTACATTATTTATTTATATGATCGTTGCCGTTCAGAGATCTTCTCATTCGGGTGTGGGCGCAGCAGCTGAACCCGGTAACACCAACAGCAACAGAAGCTGGTAGGGATCCGGACTTTTTAAAAATCAGCTTTGGTGTAAAGTGAAACGCTGTTTATAACATAAAGTTATAAATCCAGAGGGGTGAATTTAGGCCAAGTCAGCAACATGTTTACATCGGTGAACAGCTGCAGAGAGAACGTAGGCTAACGTTGGTAAGCTAGTTAACATACCGCTCTCTATGAGCCCCCGCTAGATGCACTACTTCTTCTGATAACTGAACTAGGCATGAACTAGTTGAAGGAATGCTGCAGGAGGTTTGTTTTGATCGCAAAAACAATTTCAGGCTCTACTTTTCCCTTTGTTTAGTACTCGTGTCGCTCACTGTTTACATGCTTTTGCCGTCCAGCATGGTGGACCCACGTGACTAGGTGACGTTGATGGAAAGGGTCGATACCAGACACACACCAACTTTTTGAGGGATTAACGTTGTATGGTGGTAGATGGTGACTAAACCTCACGTTAATAATGACAGCATTAGTAAGCGTGCCATGAAAGACGGAAGATATTATTAAAAGAAAACAAGAATCTTACCTTGCAAAAAATGTTCACTGCAAATCCGTGTGTACTTGGAGGGCTGCCACTCCTTCCGATTGATAGCTGCTAGCCATAGCCGCCTTTTATCTTCATCGGCAGGAATACGGTAAAATGCTACATTAGCTTTATAACCTTGCCTGTTAGAGCAACCCACCGCACAGCAAGATATGACCATTTTTTTCGCGAAAATAACGCGAATTAAAATAAAATGCTCTCCCACAGGTCGTTTACTGCCGCCCACACTGTTTATGCAGTCCACTTCCGCCGTCCGCCAAAGAGCACTACGTCACACGCAAGGGGTTGGCTGCTAAACTGACCCCGAAGCAAGCTGAAGGCAGTGGCGCCCCCAAGGGGTGAACTGCATGAATCACATTCATTTTCATAAACCAGTATAAAATGTAAAATGTTGTGTTTGATATGGTGTATTTTTAGTTTGGTTACATTTTATTGTTTTTTCTTTACATAACTAACCAAGAGCATAAATTGTTTTCTGCAATCAACGGGTGACAAAGTTTTAAAACACAGCACTTACCTCTGCAGAGGCTGCACAGACGGAAGGCTGCAAAAAGGTGGAATATCCGGTAATGTCGCTCAAACTAAAGCTTTCCTCTGCCGAGGTACAGAGCTTCAGTAAACGGTGGCCGAGCCACAGACCCACATCCTGCCGCCCATCCGAATAGGTCGCCACACCTGGACCAAACCTCTGGTCACGGTAATACAACCCCTGCGCACGCAGTTATAAACCTATTTTTTAGGTGGTCAAAAATAAACTAGTTTTCCGTTTCATCTTTCTTCGTAAATCTTACCTGAAAGGTATCTCCATTTGGGAAGACCTCCTGACCATACCCTTCCTTTCTGTTCAGGTAGAACCTCCCCGTGAACCGGTAGCCTGTCGGCCAGCACCACAGCCCGTCGCCATGCTTGTAGTCTTTGAAGAAAGACCCTTCATAATACTAAACAGGAAACGTTCAGTCAGAGCAAAACTTTTTCACGACACATTCACGTGATAGTTCCACGTTACCTCTCCGTTTCTACCGGTGTACCTTCCTTTACCGTGTTTGAGACCGTCAACAAACCCCCCCTCATATCTGGACCCGTCGGACCACTCCTGGACACCGAGCCCTTCGCGTCCACCGTCACCGGCCAGCGTGACTCTGTTCCCGCTGCTTTGAGCCGTTGTCCCGGCTGGTTCCGCAGCACCTCCACAGGTTGACGGCAGCATCCGGGACTTCAGTCTCACCTGAATTCATTTTAAATATTAAAATAATTGTTTGTAACGAGGTTAATTTGGCGTAAAATGACCACTAGCTTACAGGTAAAAACGTGAACTCACGAAGATCAGATTGGAGTTTTAACACCGAGCTCGGATCTCGGAGAGTTACCATGGCAACAGTAGCCAGGTGAAGACGCACGCATGCTCACCAAAAGACTCAAAGGTGACTTTCTGTAAGTATTTGTGGGTTTATTTTTAACTAAGTTTGTAGTCTTTAAATTAAACAACAATAATCCAACTTTTCACATGTTTTATACAATAGAGATTTTAAAGAGTTTATTCTGTTCCGACTAAAGAGTCTTTAAGATTCAAATTTACTAGGAAATGTATTTGGAAATAAGAAAGTTTGCATCGCTTAGCTTTAATGCCATCAAATTTGTAGATGGGTTATCTTTCAGAGTCATGATTTTGTGGGGCATTGAAATGTTTTACATATTGCTCTTTATTGTTATCTGGTCGTGGTGATGGAGGAAAGGAGGAAGTATTTTTCAAAAATCATTCAGTCTGTCTGCAATAAGCCACGTGTTCTTCTTAGTGTCTAAGAAAATGTCCTCAATATCTCCCAACCTGCAAAAATTGAGGCCTCCCAGGGGCTGTGTGAATTGTTTTTGACCTTTTTTATTGATAAAATAGTGAGCATTAGAGCTCCGATACCATCAACTCTTCTTCAGGTTGCTGCTGCCCTTCAACTCTTTGTAAATTTGTACCACTGACTCTGGATTGTCTGTGGGAGATTGTGGATCATACTTGGCTGAGAGGTCATTTTGTGTATCTTTAGGTGGCTTCACACATCTCATTTATGCGGCATTCCTCAAGGATCGGTGCTGGGCCCTTTGTTGTTCTCCTTTTATTTGCTACCTCTGGGTTCAATTTTTAAGAAACATGGATGTTTCTTCCTTTTATATGCAGACGACACCCAGCTTTATATTCCCATTAAACATGGCCTACCTAATTCATTGGATTTACCATTTAAGGAGGATTGCTCTCAATTAGTGATTTTGAGACAGTGATTCACGTGTTTATTACATCACGCCTTGACTACTGTAACTCACTGTACCTTGGTGTCCCTCAGTCTCACCGCTCCTGTCTTCAAATGGTGCAAAATGCAGCAGCACGACTATTGACGGGTTCGAGGAAAGGGGATCACATCACCCCAAATTTAGCTTCGCTGCACTGGCTGCCTGTCGATTTTAGGGTTCAGTACGATGCGGTTTTATTGGCTTTTAAAGCTACAAATGGCCTTGTCCCGCAGTATCTGTGCGAGCAGTTAGTTGCTCACTCCCAGTCTCGGTCACAGAGGTCAGCTGACCAGCTTCTCCTGGCGGTGCCAAGAACGAAACTGAAGCTCAGGGGAGACGGAGCTTCCTCAGTAGCAGCCCCAAGGTTGTGGAATGCACTTAGGATGGCTTCCTCACTGTCAGGTTTTAAATCAATCAATCAGTCAATCAATCAATCAATCAATCAATCAATCCTTTATTAATCCCAGAGGGAAATTAGTTTCAGTACACACAATTCAGAGATCAGACATACATGACAAGAATTGGTGACTGTGGTCATTCGCAACCCTGAGTCGCGCTACCTTAATAGAGATCAGAGGATTACATGAGGATTGGTTCAGGTGGAGGGAAAAAAAGGCACTTCAGAGTTACCCTCCACTGGGAGGGCAGCTTTACTCTGCAAAAAAACACCTAAAAAAGATATGCAAAGACTTCAGACAACACTACATAACATGAGACTCCAATAGGAAGGCGGGGGGGGGGGGGGGGGGGGGGGGGGCTGGGATCCTGTTTCTCCCAGCGACAGCAGCCATCTACTGTACAGTCACAGGTGGGAGGGAGATCTTGGGAGAGGCAAAGAGCACATTGACTCCTCCAGTTGATGATCTCGCCAGGCTGAAGTCCACCAATCCGAAGGCGGGGGGTGGTCGGGTTTTCACATCATCTGTCTGCATTCCTTTGTGGGGGGGTTATTTGCTTGCCGCTCAAGGCTACCAGGGCGTCAGATTCAGATAAGAATTTGTTTGGGTCAGGCTGAGATAATTTTCCTCTCTGCCTTCAGTCTTTAAACTGATCATTCCAGTCCTTCAGTGAAGCCAATTTTGGGTTTTTAAACTTGTCCATACCGTCCGGCGACTCTCTCCGAGATGACATCCATTTTGCACACTAATACCGGTATCACAGCTAGAACATTGTCCAGCTTATGATTCACCTCGAGTAACGTCCCAGTCTGAGAAGTCTCCACACGGACGGTGCTTTATGTCGGTGCGGGTCGCCCTCCAATCGCTCCCGTCTTCCCAAATTTCCAGAAAACCAGATATCCTCCCACTCCAATCAGGAGAAATCCAGTGATCATCAAGCCGAATATCCACACGTCTTTGATGTCCTCAATGGACAGCTGGGAGAGGCATATGATCTTCCACTCCTTCCAGGAATCCAACATATATCCCACCGGGTGAGTCCCCTGTGGGTATGTGGAAGCCCCCGTGCTCCGTTCTCATTGTTGAAAAAATCTTATCGATCAGATTGAATGACCAGTTTATCAAATCCATGGTTAGTAAAAAAAAAAAAAAAAAAAGTTTTTCAGAACAAATGCAGAGAAGCGCTCTGTGGGCAGACAGGACAAAGAGCCTTGGGAAAAAAAGATAAGGGAGCGAAAGAGGGCAGCGTCTGTACTCGAGTGCCTGAAGTGAAAAAAAACCATCTGTTCTCAGTTGCTTTTAATTCAGTGCGAGAATGCATCTGTTTTTAGTAGCTTTTTAGTTTGAATTATTTGTTTTTATTCCTTTTATAATGAACCTTTAACTTATTTTCAGCAATAGGAAATTGTTGTTTTTACTGTTTTTGTTTTGGCTTGTTAAGCACTCTGGTCAGCTTTCATGCTGTCGTAAAGTGCTTAATAAATAAAGTTGACTTGACTATTTGTTTTAATAAAATGAAAGTGATTCCCTGTTGCTGATGCCGTCTCTGGAGGATCAGTGAAGCAGGACCACTCATGTTCATGTCAGCAGACCCTTTCTCCCGTAACCGGTGCTCTTGGTTTCAAATTGCCATGGAAGTGGTGTTTGAAGACTCAAAAGAAAAATACATTTGCTGAAATCTTTAACTGTAGTAAAATACAGTACAATAAAATCCTTGAAAGTTTGCAATGGACAAATGCTCCAGTTTTTTCTGTTTCAAAAGCTGCATTTTAATATTTTATCACATATCAACCTAAATTTATTCTGATGAGTTTGAGAAAATACCTGTGGACTCAAATAATAAAACAATTTATTTTTGTTTACACCTTAATCAAAATGTGTTCATTTTACATGCTTCCAAGCCGTAATATGAACCTTATGTGCTCTTTTCTTTTATTGTTCTACTTTATAATCCCCAAATGAATAAAATGTTTGTCCCATTGCTTTGGATAGTGCCTTTGATGTCATTTCAGCTTCTAAAACAAGACACCGTAATAATAATAATAAAAAATGACTAATTATTTGAACCACTTTATTAGTTTATTATGAGTGAATTATTCAAATAAAAAAAGTAAATACTTAGTTAAAACACTATTCAATAGTCATGAGAGAATAAACAATAGTGAAGAGTGGAAACAGCATAGCAGTGCATATGAAACTGTATATACATTACTGTTGTGGTTTTTACAACTACTGTCCTGTCTCAACTTTTTCATTTGTAACATTAACAGCATCCGTTCTTCAGGAGAAAGGCCATCAGAAAGGCTTTTATTAGGAAGAGGGCAAGTCTGACTTTTTATTATAAAGTTATACATAATCTCAATGAGGTCTTTTTGTTAGCAATTTGAACTAAAATTCAGCAAATTCTAACGAGCATGTTAAAACATAGTATGTCCTCATGTCTACTACATTAAATGTTGAGTGATGATCAGAAAACAAATACAGGCGAAGGGTAAATTCCCTTCAGTATTGCATTTGGGAAGCTGAGTGCAGTGTGCAGAGCTATGTGAGATGTAGGAACACAGACGGCTAATCTTCTTCAGGCGTTGCTTCTTTCCTCTATTGAAAAACTTTCCATTGGACGTTTGCTCAGAGCTTTAATGTCATCCAGAAGACCAGTGGGGGTTAAAATGTGAGAAGACCCTGGATATGATAAAAATAAAATAAAATTTACATTTGTGAAGTCAAAAACATTTTCCAAGCTCCAGCAGGGGGGAGTAAAACCACCAGAACAGGTAAATCAATCAGGTTTAAAGAAAAGCATTATTCACTATAAATAAATGATGAAAACCCCAAAGACCAGAAGGAAAAAAGGAGTGTACTAATAAAGCATTAATGCTCACCTATAATGACCTCACAGGATTTGACAGCCTGGGTGACCTCGTAGGCAGAGCGCATCTCAGAGTAGGCGATTCCTCCGATAATAAAGATGATGAGGCGAGAGCCAGACCGGCGCTCATCCTGAGAGCTGGGTTTGTGCTTCTGGCGAGCGCTGTGGAGTAGAGACCAACTCGGATGAGATTTAAGAGCACATGCAGGAAAACGGGTGTTCTTACTCAGACATGACTGGTAAAACAGGGCATCTGCAGGTTTTAGGACAGGGGTGTCAAATTCAAATTCAGACGGGGCCGAAATGAAAATCTGGGACAAAGTCGCGGGCCAAACTTAGTATTTTTTGAAAAAGTGACAGCAAATTTGCACATTTTCTTTATCAACATATATGCAATTTTGAACCTTTTAATTTGGAAACAAACTTATTTTTGCATTAAGACTGAATGTGGAATAACCAAATTACACACGAGCAAAAAACCCGGGCATGGGAGGAGTTCGGAGAGACCATGGAGCAAGACTTTGGCTCCGCGCCAACGCCGCAAAGCAACATGGGAGTTGTAGTCTTTGCAGTAAAATCGACCAGCGGGTCAGTTTTAATATATTTTTGATATTTATCTCACGGGCCACGTAAAAATTGTGTTTTAGGAAGTCAAACTTAACACATTACATTCTCGCAATGACAAAAGGACGCAAACTCCTCACAAGTGACTCTGCCTGAATCCTTTATAGGAACTAAAAGAACTGAAAAGTAACACGATCAAGATAATTGCCCTGCAGAGCATGAAAATGAATGTACTGTCTAAAAACGAGCAATGCAGTAACAATGTGCGCGCACGGACGCTCCCAAATGTGTAGGTGGTTCTGCTCATACTAGGGTTGTCCACAAAAACGGCGACGGTTAGAAACTCTTCATAGAGTTCCAAATGAAATGAAGCTATTTTGTTAAAGAGCAAGTCAACCCCTACCATATTCTAACTCCACTCCCACTTCATGTTTGAAAAATGCAACAAATGCTGTTGCTTGGCAGACCGAGAGGGCGGAGCTGCTAACAAATACACACACAGGCTCAGGACAGCATTGTGACATCATAATGTACCAGATGACATCATAGCATACCTCTTAGCCAATAGCGGTGGCAGATTTAAATTAGAATACAGTGCAGAGTTTTTACCTGACAACGGCACAACACTGCCAGTTTTAGGCAGAATATTTAAATTTTAACTAAGATGCACTGAAGTGCCAGATTATTGACGACACGTGTCTGCAGCACGATTAGACACTCGTTTATTTAGTTTATCAGCAAAAAAAAGTTTATTTGGGGGTGACTTGCTCTTTGTCGTCAATAATTTGACACTTCAGTGCATCTTAGTTAAAATTTAAATATTCTGCCTAAAACTGGCAGTGTTGTGCCGTTGTCAGGTAAAAACTCTGCACTGTATTCTAATTTAAATCTGCCACCGTTATTGGCTAAGAGGTATGCTATGATGTAAACTGGTACGTTATGATGTCACAATGCTGTCGTGAGCCTGTGTGTGTGTGTGTGTGTATTTGTTAGAAGCTCCGCCCTCTCGGTCTGCCAGGCAACAGCATTTGTTGCATTTTTCAAACATGAAGTGGGAGTGGAGTTAGACTCTGGTAGGGGTTGACTTGCTCTTTAAAGACCACTGGACTACTTTTTTTAAGGCCTTAATTATGGGAAATCTAATCTAACAAGAAAAAATGGGACCAATAATGGTAAATGGCCTCTATTTGATATAGCGCATTCTAGAGTCCTGGAGCCCCCCAAGACGCTTTACAACACAATCAGTCATTCACCCATTCACACACACATTCACAAACTGAAACTCAAAGCACAAGTCTAATGTCACTTTCTTTGCTTCGTCAGAGGTTTTGATTTTAACTAGAATATAACAAAAATTCAGAAGCCTCTTTTGCAAAATTGAACGTCTCCTCTCAGAAACGTGAAGCCGATCATGAATGACGACCAGGAAAACCCACCTGACAGCACCGGAGCCGTTCCAGGCAGCAGGACACTGAGACTGATGCGGCCAGTCTTTAGTGTCCAGTTTGTTCTCAATGGCATCCTGAAAGAAACAAAACCACACCTTTAGGAAAACATCCTTATGGAAAATCAGTTCATTTTACTTATGTGCATCTGTGTGCTTTTTTGTGACAATATGACTCAATATTCAATAACGTTTGGAAAAAACCCCAAACTGCAGTGTTTCCTCTAGAAATTTCAGCTGTGGCGGGCCGTCACAGCTATGCCTATGTAAGGGAAACGCTGAACTGCAAGAAGAAAAACACAACAGTAAAGCCTAAAAGCTACAATCCGGTGCTTTCCCCCTTTCAGGAACTATGTAGGATTTCAGGCTGAGCTCCAAACTCAGCGGCCTGGGAACCAAGGGCACCTAACCCCGGCAAAGACTCAACAGAGCCTGGGGGTCCTGATTCCACCAGGCGGCCACCAGGAGCTGGCCAGCAGATGCCAAAAACATCCAGTCCCAGACACGAGAGGCCCCACCCACCAGCAGGAAATGTGGCGGGGGAGGGTAGGTCAAGATGTTGTAGCACCACAAGATGTCCCAGGAGAGAGAAGCCCAAGAACCTACCTGACACGACACAGTCACACTCCCACCCTCATGCTCATACATAAACACATTTAACGTAAAGACACAGAAGAATACACGTCACACACCCACTCACACTCCCCATACACACCCTAGATGGTCCCGTTCTTACTGGGGTGATGGTAAGTAGGCGACCCACCATCCCAGACACCAACCAGACGGCCAGCTCTCACTCCTAGCCCCCAGCCCCACGCAGCGAAGCGAGAACAGGTGTGTGAAGACCCCATTCTCCCAATGTGGAGTTGATGTATGTGAGAGTGCATTCTGCGGCTGGGGGGGGGGGTAAACTAGATGAAGAAGCATTAACCAGCTCAGTGGCCTAGTGGTACGAGTGTCCGCCCTGGACTGGGAGATGGGGGTTCAAATCCTGCTTGGGTCATCCCAAAGACTTTGAAAATGGGACCCACTGCCTCCCTGCCGGATGCTCAGCTTTAAGGGGTTGGACTGGGGGCGTTAAACCACTAAATAGTTCCCGAGCACAGCCACTGCTGCAGCACAGCGCTCCCAGAATAAAAATGGATCGCATTAGCTTGAATACAAAAACTTAATTTTAGTTTAATATAAAATGACTTTCAATTTTTTTTTGTAAAAGTACCTAAAAAGCATTCATATCAATCCATTAATTCAAGCACATTCTCCTACCTCCATCACGTCTTTTATGACTGGAATCCATCTGGACAAGTTGTATCTCTCCTCTTGGGAATGATCCCGTCTTGGCACTTTGCGCGAGATGGAAAAAGACTGAAAAACAAAGGAACAACAACAAGTGGCAATAAGACTCCAGTAAATCAAAAAGACACCTCCCTCCACCTCCACTCACCGATGTGATGATTGGGACTCCCAATTCTTTCCAGTTTTGGATAAACTCTCGTTCGTCTTCAATCTTAACATGCTGGATGAGTTTGCTCAAGTTCTCGTCTGTTGTTCCTGTTCAAACAGCAAATAAACAAATCTGGTTCTGCTTTATTACAGCTGCAATGTTCGAGTTAGAGGAGGAGTTTTGATCCACACCGTCCTTCAACAACAGCCAGCTGACTACAGGAGATGGTTTTACCATTAAGGCTGAAGATGTAGAGCAGCACAGCTCTGATCTTGTCGTATTTGGAGTACGGGTGGAGCAGCACAGGCAGCAGAGTCCTCATGGGATCCTTCACCTTCATCCCATCAGCGTCAGATCCTACGGCCAGGTCCTGCTCAGAACATCACAGAAATTATCTTCAGATCTGACGAGCTGAAGGTCGGACTCGGCTACAGAGCAGAACACAGATGTTATTTTTGCGCAGCTCACATCTCAAATTAAACCCGACTGAAGTGCATGGTTCAGAAAGTTCATTATGGGTTATCAAAAATAGATGCATGTAAGCTTGGGAGTGGAATCAAAAAGGTAAATGATCAAATATATCACCGTGGGCAAAACCTGGCACATTGTTAGAGCTTTACCTGGAAAGCGTTGCTAATGCCAAATAAACAGTCACAGAAGAAAGAAATCCCACACACACCTGTTCAGCTTTGCAGATTTTTTCCACGTTGTCCGAGAATGCCTTCATGCAGTCTTCAGCCAACTGCAGATGGACAGTTTTCTAGTATCAGGACAAAGAGAACAATGAAAACAGGATAAACACGTTTCAGCATTATTCTTTAAACATTTTTTGCTTCACGTTAAAAACATTTGTCTAAGAAGTGACATGTATGTGTGTGTGTGTCGATGTTGCTGCAACGTTTAGCATAAAGTCAGCTCTGCATGACTGCAGGCTGGAGAATCAGCCACCTCACAGTAACCACTGGGGATGCAACGACACCACTTCTTTACAAACCGATACTTGGATCCGAGTCCTCGCCGATACCGATTACCGATACTTCTATCACACAAAAAAATGCAATGAGTTGGAATACGGATTTTATTTTCTTCTCTGCTTTCAACAGGAAAAGAAATAGAATAGAAATAGAATAGAAATGATGGGGAGGAGCCAGTTGAGGTGGCTCGGGCATCTGGTCAGGATACCTCCTGGACGCCTCCCTGGTGAGGTTTTCCGGGCACGTCCAACCGGGAGGAGACCTAAAGGTAGACCCAGGACACGTTGGAGGGACTATGTCTCTCAACTGGCCAGGGAACACCTTGGGATTCCCCCGGAGGAGCTGGCCCAAGTGGCTGGGGAGAGGGAAGTCTGGGCCTCTCGCCTTAGGCTACTGCCCCCGTGACCCGACTCCGGATAAGCGGATGAAAATGGATGGATGGAATAGAAATGATCACAAAACTAAAATATCAGGTGAACAGAAATGACAAGTTACAGTGAAGCCACTTTCAGGCAACTGCACCGACATCAGTTCCTGGTATCAGTTAACTTTTACCGATACCAGTACCAGGGCACAGCTCTAGGGAGAAAACCTAAGTGCTATCCAAGTCACCACTAGCCAAGGAGTCTAGACGGTTCGTAGAAGTTGAATGATTTTGCTCTGCATGTCGGTCTAGCCACGCTGCCATGGAGCCTCAGCAGCCCAGACCAGTATTGTAGCTTGGTGAGCACAGCGGTCTATCGGTTTGATGGGAGGAACGTTACTGCGACCGGGTGAAACTAAGATGGCAACAGCCCGTTTGAGACGACTTTGGCATCAACGTTGGACTATTTAGACTTGGGCGTTTCTTTGAGTCAAAAGCATATAGAGGTACTTAAGTTTATTTAGAACAAGGATGTATTTGCATCTTCTCCACAGTGTATGGCCGACTGCCTCGCTGTTATTCGTCTAAGTAGATCCCGCCCCACGACTGGCATCCATTCATTAGTCGTGGCCATCCTATATATTCACATATCCAGGATGGCTTGCCAGACAAAGTTATACACGAAAGAGAAAGTTCATACCTCATTCAGCTGTTTACGAAAGGAAGGCATCTTCTTCATCAACTGAGACAAATTGCTAATTGAGATCTGAGGAAGAAAAACGTGTTTTTATCTCTGGTAAAATAAATAAATAAATAAATAATCGAACATTTGAAGAGAGCAGGATGACAAACTCCAGCTCTGTACCTTCCCATCTGGCTGCTTCTTACTGGCTGCTATTTCCTTCACCATCTTGGGGAGCTGTCTGTTTAATGAAAGCAAAGTAAAAAAAAAAAAAAAGTACGAGTGGGGTGGAAGACAGACAATCCTGCCACAACCTGAACGGTGCACTCACTCTGAGACCTCGGCAATGTGTTTGTGCCTGAGCTTCACCCACAGCATGTCATCATCATTCAGCTGGGCCTGCTTCTCTGAGCCATCTTTGGACTTGTACCTGGGTTAGAGAAATCCCGAAAGTGAGCTGTACCCGTCTGCAGGAGAGATGCAGCAGCTAGGGGACTGTGCATAAATCTGAACGCAATAGAAAAAAAACATACGTGTAGATGTCGTTCTTGATAGGAGTGAGGTCATAGGCCATGGCCTGGTAGGTGAGTTCATGGAGGATGGGGCTGACTGGGTCAAAACCTCTCTCCACTATCAGCAGCTGGGCTTGAGTCTTTTCCTGTCAACAACAACAAAGACATAAAAACACAGATGCTATAAAAAAAAAACATAAATGCATGCTGAGCCTAACCGACAACGTGTGAATTTTCTCATTTCGGATGAAATATCTCCCTCAGGCTGAGGAAAGTTTTCCCCCCTCTGACCCGATACCCTGTGTAAATGTATAACTGTAAATAATATTGACCTCCCAAGGCTAAGATTTGGCTTATTGTGTCAGCTTTCTTTGTTCAGCCGGAGTCTCACCTTCTTCTTACCGCTGTCGTCCAGCTCGTAGTGTCGGGCCAACCTGGTGTCAACCATCTCAGCCAGAGTTTTGGCGTTCTCCATGTTGCCGTCTCTAGTTAAGAAACATTCAATGTAGTGCAAACGTTAAAATAAGTTATTTCAAACGCTCGTTTTCTGGTTCAACACTAACTTAAACCTTCTAAGTCACGCAGCACATTACAGGGTTTTCCTCATGTGCAGTTTCCTTCTGCTAGAGGCTGAGGTGTGGTGTAACCTAAACTCAAACTACATCTCACCTCTTGTATCTGACCCCCGGGTACTCATCCAGTGTCGCGCAGAGAGTCACGAGCTGCTCCGCAAGTGTCTCTAGTGTCTTCCTTTTGTCTGAACTATGAGGACTGTAGATGCTATAGAAAGCCTCTGGATTATCACACGTGAACACCTTTAAAGCACACAGTTTGCATTAACGATGTAATCTGTTCCAGATGAAATCCGCAGCATCAAAAAGATGAAAAATCAACATAACAGACATTTGTAACCTATAGGAAGCAGTTCTAAAACCAGCTGTTACACCCTTTAAAATACAACATTTCAAATAGATTTTTCTGAGAAGCAACTTGCTAAAAAAAAAAAAACTATGAAACCAATAGAATTTTACCTCAAGTAATCACATAGTTGAAGTTAAAAAGATGAAGTGCAACCATGGACGTAAGTTTGGGGGGAAAGGGGGGGGGACATGTCCCCCCCACTTTTTCCAAAGTCAAGTTTTTACCCCTGCACTTTTTACCATCCAAAAACAATATTACGCTATATTAAATTGACACTGGTTGAGCTCTAGGACCAAGCAGAAAACAACCGTTCGCGTTGAAGCCTGTTTCCCATTAGAACATACTGTAAAGATGCCCCCTGCACTTCTAAAGTGAAAATTACGTCCATGAGTGCAACAATATTACAAAACTACCTAACAGAGAGTCTGAAGCTGCAGGGGGTTACCTGCGCCTCTTGTGGCATGAAAGAGATGTTTAGTTCCTTGCAAACACGAATGTGCTTTGCACAGTAAAGCTTCATCTTGTTGAACAGGTCATCAGAGCAGTCTGTCGGACAAAAAAATAACATTTTATCCGTTTACTTAAAAGGATATTCCACACCTAAGTGAAATTTGTCTGTTCATTTATTCCCCAGAGTGAGATGAAAGGGGTAAAAAGCGTTTTGTAACCAGTCCTAATTCTGTTAGCTTTAGCTTAGCATAAACAATGCAAATGAATGGTAACAGCTAGCATTTAAATCATTCAAATTAGGGCTGCTCGATTATGGCAAAAATAATAATCACGATTATTATGACTGAAATTGAGATCTCGATTTTTTAGGACGATTTTTCAATTTATGTTGATTTTATTTGTTTTTATTCCGTCATAAAATTGCTCAGGGCACAAACAGGGCAAAAATAAATAAACAAGATGATCACTAAAATAACTCCTGATTCCCAGTATAAAAAGACTAATATACCTATATCTCATAGTTTATGACCCAAGGGCTATAGACCTTGGTTTAACTCATTTAAGTCTAACCAGTACAGACCCAAATACCAATATCTTGCAAATACTGACAGCAAGAATTATACAGTGGCATTTATAACAAATAAATTGATGTTCACAAAATGTTGCATAACATTTATTGAGTCGTGTCAAGGTGCTGTAGGAGAGTGCACTAGCACCGTGTCCTCAGAGAGATTAGTTATTATTTATCAGCGTGAGGAACTTATTCTACCTTATTTATAAACTATTTATTTACAAGTCCATCAGTTAATGTAATAATTGTCCCAACCACAGCTGCACCCCCCACCCCCCAACCTGGTCTCACAGCAATCAGTGGCAAGCTGCACGTGTGTTTAGCGCGCTGCACGCGCACATTTAGCCGTTTTTAGCGGCTCAGGAGTCCGCAGGTTTGGTGTGTGTGTCACTCACTCTGGTTAATCCAACAGGGAGCCGGCTCCGAGAGCCGTTTCTTTAGCGACTGACACATCACTACATCATTCCCTTTCCTAATGTCCTGAAGAACGGTCCGGAGCGCAGGCAGAGTGTTTAGCTAACCTGCAGGAAATGTCAACGACAGTTATCCAGAAAGTAGCTAAGGGTTACCAGAGACGTTTCTGAGGTGTTCGCTAGGTACTTTTAAGATTTAAAAAGTCAAGAAGGGGGTCTGAAGAGCTGTTGGAAATAGCGTCAAAGTCGCCAAGCTGGCAACACTGTGGGAGGAGCGCTTCATTTGCAACTCAGGGCAGCACAAGTGGGAGGAGCAAATAATCGGCTCGTTTTGTTTGTATAATCGTTCAAAACTCCCATCGTAATAGTGATTAAAATTCGATTAATTGAGCAGCCCTAATTCAAATATATACCTAATGCAGTTTAATGAAGGAACAGCATAGTAAGTAGGCTCGGGCAGTATTACAGAAATACCTTATACCGCCAGTGTTTAAAAATAGCAACGGTATCTGTTTGAATACCGTCCCAGTAAGGAAAAAAAAGCAGTGCACTGAAGTTGGGCGTACTCACTGTACGACTTTTTCACTATTTTCAGCTGATTTTCCACTCGTGCGAGAATCTACGAGATCGGAGAGAGTTTTGCGCTGAGCGTTGTGTAGTATACAGGGGGTTACGGGGAGCGAATAACGCCACGTGACCAGCTTCCAATCAGCAATCGTGAGCTCGGACGGATTTATCCCGTGTTCTCGTCCCTCGTGAGGGTATTGCACTGTTAGCGGTGCTAAGAGCGGCTGTGACTCAAAAAGTACCAGAACCGCTCACAGCGCATTTATGAGCGCATAAATTAAAGTAATTTAATGTATAAAACAGATGTGTGGTAGATTTTTCAGTTTTACCTAAATAGTTTTAAATGTTTTGTCTTTGGAGACGTTCCATAAACATTTCCGGAATGGTGCTGCTCTGGGTGGCTGCATGTTGGAGTAGCTCTCTTGACTATTTGTAAGTTTTGCCTTTTTTTTTTTGGACATTTTTTCTTCTAGTTTCTCAAGAAAAACAGTTTTTTTTTTTACATTTTACTTTCTGTTTCTGGTGTTGTGAAGCTTGAAGGATTTTTACTGCTATTTTTTTTACTTTTTGAGCATTTGTTATGATGCGTAACCATGGCAACAAGCTGGTTTACAATCGGGAGCAGCTGAATAACATTGGAAAGGCTGAAATTATACCTCAACTGAAGCCACAAATCCCAAATGAGCTAGAACGCAAGAAGCGTGGGTGCAGAGCGGGAGCAAAACGGAGACAGAGAAAGAGGAAATTCAAACCATCTCTTCCATCGATCATAATGGGCAATGTGAGATCACTGCCCAACAAGATGGAGGAACTCCAAGCTCTTTCAAGGACTCAGCCAGAGTTTCGGCAGTGTAGTATTATGTGTTTCACTGAGACGTGGCTGCAGGAACATATCCCCGATTCCAGCGTCTCTCTGCCAGGATTCCTGATTGTACGAGCAGACAGAGATCTGAAGAGGAGCGGGAAAAGAAAAGGAGGTGGAGTGGCAGTGCTTGTCAACAAGATGGTGCCATCCAGGTCATGTTTCAGTGAAATGCCGTCTCTGCAGCCCAGATGTTGAACTCTTGGCACCATCGTCTGTTGGAGTAGTAGCATCAGAAGCAGGGACCTGAAAAGGCTCAACAGCCTAATAAAGAAGGCTGGTTCTGTTCTGGGGACGACTGTGGAACCACTGGAGGAGATAATGCAAAGAAGGATTCTCCAGAGAATCAAGAAGATTATGGACAACCCTGAGCATTCTCTTCACAAGACTGTCCGACAACGGAAGAGTGTCTTCAGTCAGAGGCTTCTTCAGTTTCGCTGCAACACTGACCGCTACTGGAGATCCTTCCTGCCAACAGCCATTGTGATATACAATAACTCTTTGATGACTTGATTATTATTATTATTCTGAGCTACTACAGCAATCAAGTTCCCTCTGGGATTAATAAAGTATTTTTGAATTGAATTGAATTAAAGTTTATGTACGCGACACCATCACATGACCGCACCAAGAGAGTGACGGGGAGAAAAACGGCAAAAAGACACAACTTCTGCAGTTTGTGAGTATTTTGGGTTCGAAGTAACCAATTAACAAGAGTCACTACATACTGATGAGGCAATTTGTATTTTGTGCAATCAAAAGGTGACAAGGAAAGATGCAGGATGACCCATCGGCACTGCAGAGGAGCGAGCCAGAGCTAATAGCAGCCTACTGGTTGGAGCTGGTTATTAATAGAGACAACAACGCAATGTTCTGGTGGCAATAAGCTGCCAGCCGTCTTCCCCAGATGTCGCAACTAGCCCCAAAGTACCCGTATGTCGGTGCCACAAGCTCATCAAAGCGGATTTTCAGCACGGAGACTAAGCAGTTGGTCCACAACCTCCTATGTTGAAGCTCCTGTCTCATTTCCTTACGTTTTGCAGTGGCAGTGTACAGCGGTGCTTCGTTGTGACTAGGGATGGGTACCTTTGACATTTGAATCGATCCCGGTACTAATTCCCGGTACCAACGAATCGATACCGGTACCAATTTTCGATACTTTGAGTGTGTAATATTTTAAATCTCTTTTATAATTAGATATATATTTTTCTCAGTATACAACCATATTTGATAAATATCACGATAAATAACATTCAACTGTTTGTATTTTAACATCGTCCTTGTAGTTTTATAAGCTGATAATTAAACTGAAGCAAACATCTTTACTGTGAACTAAATTTACTGTGTATCTTCATTCCTTTTGCCGTCCTTTTTCTTGATTTTTCCTACTGGGAAGTTAGAATTTCCGAGGAGAAAGCGAACGCACCATTAGCTGATAACAATGGTGGCAATGGAAGCTAATTTATCAAGCTAATGTTATCTTAAACAGTTTATTTAGCTACTGGAGCAGATTCAATCGATGATGCCTCACACTTAGATCGTTGTCGCTGGTTTCATCTTCACCCAATCACCCGTCGCATTTAGTAAAGTGAAGCCAAACTTTAGAGCGCGTTCATGTTCTTCTAGTCGGAAATTCGGAGTTCCGAGGAGAAAGCGAACGCACCATTAGCAAAACGGAAGCTAACATATCAAGCTAATGTTATCTTAAACATTTTATTTACCTACCGGAGCAGATTAAGATGAGGATGTCTCACTTAGGTCGTCGTCGCTGGTTTCATCATCACCCAGTTACCCATCACATTTAGTGAAGTGGACCCAAGCTTTAGCGTGCGTTCTTTCTACCATGCTGCTCTGTTTACACCTCGCTCGCAGCGACCGACAACATAACGCTCTTGCGCATGCGCAGCTGTCTAGGCAAGTTCTCGTTATGAAGGACGGGTACCGAAACGAGGCACCGTTTCAAATGACGTGAATCGGTGCTCAGTCGGTACTGTGGAATTCGGTCGGTACCTTGAAAAGTACAGAATTCGGTACCCATCGCTAGTTGTGACGTAGTCCTAATTGGCTCCTGTGATTCCTTCATGTGACTTTTGATTGTCATTTGTAGTCGATATGATTATTAAGGTTACCTAAAAAAAATGAGGATCATTACGGAGTAATTTTAATGATTTTTTGACGCGAACTGCTAGCTGTTACCATTCACTTACATTGTTTGTGCTAAGCTAAAGCTAACAGAGTACTGCCAGATTAGAAGAATGACTGGGTAGGTAACAAAATGGTTTCCCCCTACTTATCTGTTGTGTCCTTGGGAAAGACACTTAACCCACGTTGCCTGCTGGTGGTGGTCGGAGGGACCGGTGGCGCCAGTGCTCGGCAGCCTCGCCTCTGTCAGTGCGCCCCAGGGCAGCTGTGGCTACATTGTAGCTCATCACCACCAGTGTGTGAATGGGTGAATGACTGATTGTGTTGTAAAGCGCCTTGGGGGGTTCCAGGACTCTAGAAGACGCTATATCAAATACAGACCATTTATCTAACTCAGAGGAATACAGCAACAGACTAAATTTAACTTAGATGTGGAATATCCCTGTTCCTAAAAGTTCTTCATGTCTGTTATTTTCTAATAATTCATGGAAAGAATTATAAGTTACTTACAGTCTGTAAAATACACGTAAGCTGCTTTGTATTTGGCTTTAGTCTTGAAGTCAGATATGAAGGCATCAACACTCTGACATGTAAAAATAAGAGTTTATTAGAAATGAAATATACGTCACATTCTGAGTAATTCAGAGTTGTGATGGCAAACCTTGGAGGTTGGTGTCATGAAATAAATGGCCTTCATTTCTGGAACAGGCTCTCTGATTTTGTACAGGTCCTCCACAACTGAACAGAGAAAACTTTACTGCTACACAAAATGTTGCACAAGAATCCACATGAAGACAAAGCATACAAGACAAAAAACTCAATACATTTGAAACCTACTTGTGATTTTTTCTGCCATCAGATCGGACATTTTGCAGCATGTTGAGAGCAGCTTGGTGGTGAAGGGGTCCAACAGTAAAATCTGTAAAGACAAATTGTAAATGGAAAGCAAATTGCATGTTTTGCACTTGTCCACTTTGAGTCACAAATGAGAGAAATTGAATGTGAAAGATGACTCGGCGTGGAATTACAATCTTGAAGGCGTGTCTTACCTTCCATACTCCAGATTTGTTGCAGTCTGTGATGATCGTCTCTTTAATTCCTGAGGAGGCACAAATTAGAATGAGAAAGCGTTATTAACATTGTACCATAGAGCAAGCTGCAGGCACAACATAATTACAATGTACAACATGACAATTCAAAGAATAAACCTCAGGAATCACGCATAGAGTCAAGTTTCATACTGAATGTATGCTGGCTACAACAAAAGTGAACTAAAATCTAGACTGGTGAAGTTTAGATTCAGCTCAAAGCAGAAGTTAATAAAGAGTCATGATGAAAGATCTGCTTATTTTACACAGTCAGTCAAATGCTGAAACATCACTCAGAAGATGCTGGAAAACAGTTTGTTTTGTGCTGCCGTGAGTCAGACTTTATTCAAAAGGTGGATTTTTATAGATAAGGAAGATCCCATATCTCCATGCACATAAGTAGACATTCAATTTTGTCAAATAACTTACATTTAACCTTTAGTTTTTAATAAACTTTAAATATTTTGACTTAATTCTCAATTTAACCCCTTTGAACTGTGTGAAAGCATTTTATTTCTGCTTGCAGTAAGTTTGCCTCAAAAGGAAAAGGGCAACATTTGAAGAAGATTTCATGCTGCTTTTAAGGAGGAATTAAAGAATTCCTAAACTTGTGCATTCCTACCAATTCCTTTTAGGGATGAAGCTGAGAATGGGTAATGTAGCGTCCAGCCTTTCCTTTAACCACCACGCTTAACTGTTCAAATACTCTAAAGCTTTATGGTAATTTTAAATTTAATGATTTAAAATAATTAATGGACATCTCAAAATCCAAACAAATCGTTTACCGGTCGTAACATTTGGAGAAGCTACGCAGCATGTTTCTACCAGCCCATCTTGTATGTCGGCGAAGATATAGGAGTGAGGTGGGGCTCCGGGCGGCTCAAAGTCACCTCAAGACGAACTATCTTACAAAAAGTGAAACAGAAGACAGTAAACGTCTAGAGTCAAGTTTTATCCGGTGTTTTGATTCTATTTACGTCTGATTAGACTCTGATGTGAGGGGATTTCCGTCGTGTAAAGCATACGAGTGAAAGTATGTGAACGTTCGCTGTCATTACGAATATCTAAGTTTCTACCCAAAAAAGCACGTCAACTGGAACCATTTGTGTTAACGAGGAAGATTCTAAGTTTTATAAGAGCTGTAAGGCAAGAACACTTACTTTTCCAAACTATTTTCCTCAGCCCGTAATCCGAGCCCGCTGCCATCTTGTTTTTTGTTTTTCTCCTAAACTTCCGGTGTTGCCTGTCTGCTCACGCATTTTGACGCTGTTGCTTCATAAGTGTGCGACTGAGAACGATTGTAGTTTTTCCATATGTGTGAGTTTTTCTTCAACTCTGAACGCCACTTCCGTGTAATGAGTCGGAGCACCCGTTTGAGCCTATGGTTAGAGCTAAATAATGCTAGCTAGTGAAAAGAAAACCCCTAAAAGAAATAAAAAATAAGCAGAAGAAATAAAAAAAAAATAAGCAGAAAATAAATGAGAGAAGAAAAACTCAAAGAAAGTCTGCGGCTTATACACAACAACAGTTTGAGTAGTCTATCTAAGTAATCAATTAAAATGAACAAATGAATTATAACAGGGTTGTCATTGTACAATTGTTGTGAAGTAGACCAACTGATGTTGTAAAAGGTTGAAGCAGAAGCTTTTTTTCCCCATGATGCGTAAAAACAAGTAGACAAGATAAACTAAAGAAAATACATAAAAACTAAAAAGTTGTATTCACAAAATAAAGCTAAAGTATAAACAAATTAAACCATACGAAGGAATAAAAAATACGAAATGACTAAACAATAATAAAAATCAATAGTAATGGATTAATCAAAAATCAAATTATAAATATTCAGTTAAGTCTTGACAAAAACAACAACAAAAAGCAGCATCCAAAGTTATAACCTTTAGAGATTTTTAGAACAGTCAGTCAAGAACCTTTAATTAACCAGATAGGTCGATTGAGAAGTTCTCATTGACGATGACGATCTGGCCAGAGGCAGCAGCAACAGACACATAGTCAGTTTTACAGAAACATACAAGATAAAAATAAGAAAACAGCTACAAATATGTATGTTCAAGCAATCAAAATGACTTAAAACAATCTTTAAGAACTTTGTGACTCCAGACTTTCAAAGTGTATGAAACTGATCTGAACCCTCCAGTGGAGGGGAAATCCAGCCCCTCTACCTGACACGTATGTCACAAGTGGTGGCTTCATCCTTTATTATAGGATAAGGATATCATGCCTGTAGCTACATGTTGCTCATCTGTCTTTAGTAAGCTTTTACATGATTGGACGTTTGCTCCAAAGCAGGAGGAGCTAGACTTGTATTTTAACTGAATAGACACCACATGTTTTAGGAAAAGGTGACATGAGAGTGTTTTTGGGAATCAAAAATAAGTGTTGAGATAGTAAAACACTGTGAGAAGGGCTTTGATGAACATATTGAGAATGGACGGCGTGAAGTGGTTGATGATTTTTGTCTCTCTGGGCATCTGCTCACAGGTAGGCCTACAGTTAGCCTATGTGATGTTACTAAGATGCAAATTTTCTCCTAAAATTTGTCACTAGAACATTTAAAGTTGAATGTTTCTTCTCTAAATTTGCAGACTGCAGCACAATCCGGTACAGTATTTTCCGTTGTAATCTTGCAGTGGATTGATCTAATGAAAATGCAGTGGAACATTGACTTGCTGTAATGATCTTACATCACTCTCGTGCAGCTATCCAAGTTTCCAAGTTCTCTGCAACATCCAAGACTGTGATTCTCAGATGGACCAAGTATACCGGAGCCACCTCATACCGGATCACTGCTGCCCTCAAAAGCTCACCAAACGTTCCCGTTGCTTTTTCGACGTTTGGTACAAACACAGTGATGGGCTCCATCAGCTCCCTTTCCCAAAGTGTCACATATATCTTCACCATAGAAGCTTTGGATGGTAACCAGGCAGTCCTGAGCACCGCATCAATCGAGACAGAGACAGGTGAGTTGTGTTGTCTAACCTTCTAATGCATAAGATATGGAGGACCAAATGTGATTTATGAAGTCAGTTGTTGTTGATCATTTAAAAATTCCTTCCTGTAGGTCTGTATATTTAACTGTCTTGATCTTGCTTCATTTTACAAAAATGGAACACTTTAGTTAAGTTTTCTATTTAATCAGTTTGTAAAAGGAACGAAAGCAGAGTAAAGTAAATTTAGAAGAATAAAAAAACTTCGTATCAGAGTTTGAGGAGATAAATTTGCCAGAGGAAGACTAAGTACAAAGAAGACAATAAATCAATGCAAATTTTCAAGTGATTTTTTTTTAGCTGTGATTTATTTTTATTTATTTATTTATTTATTTTGCAGTATTTCTTTAAATGTTGTCTTTATGGAGCAAGACTTTCTAAAAAAATACTGTAACAAATTCAGGCTTTTGGATCCTTCAGAGATTTGCTCTGCATTTTCAGGTGAAGAACAATGACGACACATTGAGGAGCATGTTCTTAAATGTGCACTTTGTTAAACTGCAAACAAACACTGGTTCATCCCTTGATTTTAGGAATATTTAAATGCTTAAATGACTCTTATGTCAAACTTAGGTAGCTTGTAAAGCCAAAAAAATCCTTTGAAATGGTGACAAACTGGACTAAACGTCTTTGGCTTCTTGTAGGTCAAGTATAGATAATATATATTGTGGATTGACTCAAGACTTTAGCCATTTTCAACTGATTGGGAGCACTCCACACAATGATGTCTAACATTCGTCTCTTTTAGCTCCTGATATGATGGATCCCATCAGTGGCGTTAGCTCCAAGGATAGCAGGGCCTTGGTGGCGGATTTCAACCTGAAGACAGGGGCGACTTATTACATCATACGAGTTGAGAACGCCAATGGCTTCTTCAGAGAAGATGCAGTGCTTTCCTCCCCTGCTGAGATCAAGAATCTGACACCATACACTGAGTATTCGCTCAGCATCATGGCTGCCAACAATGGAGGCCGCAGCCAGCCATCGCTTCCTGTGACTGCAAAGACAGGTAGTGCTTTTACCAAGATTTCAGGGAATTCCTCAGACGGGAAACAAAGCACACAGGATCACAATACACCCCGAGGCTGGTCTGTTAGGACAAGAGTTTTATGTTCATCCTCGGGTTTTCCCATCAGTTCCATTTGCCCCAATGAAGTTAATTGATCCACCATAGCAGAGCCTCTCTATCGACAGTCTGTGTTGGTGTTGACTCAGTCAATGTGTCAGCATCCCTGAGGGGCGTTTTGTGTATCAGTGGTAACTTAACCTGAACACACGACAATGTTTTCAGGACACTTCTTTTCTCCATTCTCACCTCATGGTAACATTTGATCTACTTGTGACAAATTCCAAAATCATACAAGTTTCACATCATGAATATGATATTTTCAGGAGCTCTGATACTCATAGGATGTCAGATCTGGATTTTGCTGTGGTTGTGAAGATCTGAATTAACATCAAACTTTGGAATCCATCTTTCATAGACAAAATTTCATGTGATTTTACCAAACCCTAACCCTAACCTTTCTATAGATGATTCTCTTGACATTTGAGTACTGCGATGCTTGACTCAGGCATGTGAAACTTTTCTGTACAGCGCTACCTCCTCCCCAGCTCTCCACCTCGTCTCCCAGCAATGACAGCATCGTTGTAACCTGGCCTCCCGTTGCTCATGCTGTCCAGTACACTGTGTCAATATCCATGTTTGACTTCAGCTCTGAGATGAATTACAACACATCCAACACCAGTCTGACCTTCCCTGGCCTGGATGCTGGAGCTCTCTACATCATCGCAGGATCGGCTTGGGACCCCGAGGGCCGAAACGGAGAAAGCAGTTTGAATATCAGCCAAAAAACACGTAAAGACACATTTCTTTGTAATTAATTTGAAAAAAAAAGAATTGGCTTATTCAATTTTTAAATATAATGTGCAAAAGTCTTACATTTGTGCAGAAACAAAAAGCTACAAAATAAGGTAGAATTTTTGCAAGACCATTAACAAAACAAACTGGACAACAGTTTTTACTCGATAATAATGAAAGCTTATCAAAGGCCAAGCTCACTGAGAAAATGTTTTTTAAATGTAAATTTTGAAATATGATCGGTCACACGGAGTTTAACATGCAGACTAAACGTGAAAATAGTCTTCTACACCGATTTCCTAGCCTGGCCTGCCAGACCCGTCCTCTGTTCTACACAAAGAACTAGTCTGGTTACTCACAGGCAGAGAGGCACAAGGGGGGCGGGACTAGCCAGCTAAAAAAATAACCAGTCAGAAAAAAGGCGGAAATGCCGACTGTACCGCGCGGCGCTGTAGTTTTTTAGGTGTAGTCAATAATGATGTCTGGCGGCGGCGCAAACATCTTTTGTAAGAAAAAAGGCTTTTAGCGCTGCTTCTTCTTGTGGTTTCAAAGACATTCAAGTCATTTAGAACAGAGGAAAGAGCTTTAGGTGCCATCTCGATTAGAATTCTCAGGGGGCGGGGTTGTTTGAACAGGAGAGTTCCCAGACCCATTCTTCCCACAAGGAGGTATGGGTCTGGCTGGTCAGGCTACCGATTTCCTGCATTAATCACTGATAGAAAATAAATGGGGAAACAACTGGATTAGAATAACCAGTCAGATCTACGTCACACTAAAAATGATCATTCATGGACTCAGCCACCTCGGCTCACGATGGCAAAGGCTGTTGTCAGTTCAGCGTCTGGTAAAAACCAACATTTAGCATTGGCAAGTAGAAGCTAACTGTTAGCATTAGCAATTCTGCAACATGTCAGAGCCCCTTCAAGCTTGTGTTATCTGTGGAGATAAAATATCTACGTGGAGATAAAACACCAACGCTCAATGGTAGAGACGCGTTGCCGTTAGCCAATCAGAGGAGAGACGTCCAAATGTCAGGATCAAAGACTCCAAATCCTGTCGCGTTCTGCTCACCACTCCTCTGACTCTTTTAGCAGGGGTGAAAGAGTTTTCCCCCACACAGATCAACCCACAAGGCATTCTTTTACACTAGAGATCTCTGCAAATGTATTTTTTAAGAGTGAACTTGGTCTTTAACAGATGTAGGAGGAGGAAACAGCAACATGTCATTTACAGTATGAAGAATTCTTCTTCTTCTGGGTTTGTCTTCATGGTATTCACTATCTTTCACCAGGACCTCCAAAACCATCTTCTGTAAATGTCTCAGTGGTGATGAGTAACAACGCGGCTGGACTCTTGGTGTACTGGGAGCTCAGCCAGGAGGTTTATGGAACCATTGAGTATCAGGTGGCGAGTGACCACAACAAAACCTGCAACAGCAATTCCACTTCCTGCACCCTGTCTCCGGTGGGCTGTGGAGAAGTTCACACCGTCCAGGTCACGGCATTCAACGAGGCTGGACCCAGCTGCCCATCCACCCCAGTGGTATTCATCACCTGTGAGTAGCAGCGTAAGAGACGACAGCTAGTAAAACCCAGTAAATTCAAAACGAAACTCATCTCTTCTTCCTTGTGCCATCACCAGTCCCCTGCCCGCCAGACTCTCTGGCTCTTGTGCAATCAGCAGGAGGAAACTGCACACTGATGTGGAGCACGGTGCCGTACGCAGACAGCTACAGGGCCTTCATCACTACAGGTGACGGTAGTGAAGAGACCTGCAACACCGGCATCAACTGCACCTACAGCTGCCAATGTGGCTACACCTACCTGATGTCTGTGTTGGCCTACAATCACGCTGGCAGCAGTCCTCCAGGGAAAGTCCTCAACCACACCACCCGTGAGTAGCAGCAGAGGTTAGATCTGAACGGGACTTTACGGGAATGGGATTGTCTTTCATGTCTGTTTATCTGTGTTTCAGTCCCCTGCTGTCCAGATAGTGTGTCTGTCTCTGCGGTGAGTACCGACACCCTGGAGATCTCTTGGGCAGCTTCACGAGGGGCCATTCTGTATCAGACTCAGGCTGCAGACAGTTCAGGGGTCGTCCTCTGTAATGACACAGCATCAGTGTGCGCCCTCTCTGATCTAACCTGCGACAGCTCCTACAGCGTGGTTGTGATGCCCTGTAGCGAAATCAGTGGATGCAATCATGCTTGTGAAGCTCACACCAGAGACACGGGTAAACGTTTGTGGGGTTTTTGCATTTTGCACTTCTGCATTATTATTAAATAAAAATAGATTACGTGTTTGTGCATTTTAATAACTTGTTGAAGAAAAGCAATAAAACCCAGCAGAATGCATATAAATAATAATAATAAAAAAAAATCTCGCCAAGACTCCAAAAATGAAATTCATCGCTTTTCTTCTTCTGCTCCAAACAGCTCCATGCATGCCAACAAATCTTAATGTAAGTCCCAAAACCTCCACCTCGGTCAGCGTCAGCTGGACAGCCAACAACAGGGCGGCTACTTACACAGCGAGTGCAGACGGAGGTTCCAGCAGACACACCTGCACCACCCCTGGAAGCAGCTGTGACATTGCAGACCTTTCTTGTGGCTCCGCCTACAAGTTCAGCGTCTCTGCAGCCAGCAGCGCCGGCCAGAGTTTACCCAGCTACTCTGTCTCACTGGAAACAGGTGGGAGGTCAGAGGCCATCTGATGACATCATTTTGTAGGTTAAGTAAATCCAAACAGCCTGAAAATGCATGCAATATAAAAGGTGTGGTTTACTGAAAAAACATTTTTAGTGATTATTTCTGATCACTCTGAATTTTTCATGCAGGCTGAATGTGAAAAAAGTCTCCTACACCTATCTCCTGCGTTAGCTTCTGATAGAAAATAGACTATGAAATGCTAGGATTTGCAAATCTTCACTTATCTATGTCACACTGTGGATTTGCATTCATGGCCTCACCCATCCTGGCTAGCGCCCGCCCACACGGTGGCTTTCTTTGGCAGCGAGGACCGACTGTGTCTTGGTGATGGCGACTTCGCAGCATGGCTGAACGCGTTCTGTTAGCCAATCAGAAGTGAGGTGTGTGCATATAATTAATAATAAAGAGTAATGCTGCTGTTTTCAGCCCACCTCTGCAACAGCAAACTTCTGCATCTCAGAACAGGAGCGTCATAGCTTCTGTTTTAATGACTCATATTGATTTACACTAGAGAACACTGCAAATGTCTTGAATAAATGACTAAACCACACCTTTAATAAGAAATCAGTCTAAAACAGAGAAGCAAATCAAAAGAAATGTTAACGACCCTCTTTCCTATTCACTCTCTCTCTTTCTTAACATTTTTTCTTTTAAATCCCAATTGCCTATTTTTGCTCATTTTAAATATATCTTTAAACATTTTCTAAATGCTTTTTTATATTTTAACATTTTTTTTTGTTTTTGTGAAGCGCCTCGTGATTTTTATCTTGAGAGGCGCTATAGAAATGATATTTTCTTCTCCTTCTTTAACAAAGAAGAGGACAAATGAAGGATTCACGTGTTTGATCTCCTGCAGAGCCATGTTGTCCAGCGTCTTTAGCGGTGGAACAGGTGACTGTGGCAATGACCAACATCTCGTGGTCTCAAGCCAACGGCGCACACTCCTTCATCACCTCTCTGACGTCACCGCGTGGTCACGCCCGCTGCCACACCCGGGATTCCCACTGCCTCATGGGATGCATCACCTGTGGCACAAACTACACCGTCACCATGGAGGCGTTCAGCCTCAGTGGACTCGTGTCCAACTGCACCTACCAGGGCTTCTCGTCCAGTAAGGGGGAACTTTGTGATTAGTGGCTGAATCTATTGACGTCCCTAAAAGAACAAAAAGCACATCACTTGATCTCTTGCAGGTGTCTGCTGCCCGTCAGGCGTCAGGTTGTATGCGATGTCTGGTGACTCTCTGCGGGTTTACTGGCGCAGCACAGGCAGCAGCCACAGCTCAGTCACTGAGCTCACGGGCAGCCGCAGCAACTACACCTGCACCGCGTCTCCTGGTGAGAACAGCTGTGATGTTGAACACGTCCAGTGTGGGGACGTGTATCATGTGGTGGTAGCGCCACTCACACCAGAGGGCAGCAAAGTCCTGTTCTGTCCTCAGAGACTGTACTCAGGTACCTGTCACAACTAATCTGTCATCATTCCTTTTGACATAAATAACTTTAGGTTAAGTCAAATTCTCTGAAAATGTTCTGAGTGGATTTCGGTCTCTGCCCTTGTAGTCACGTGTTCGGGAAGTAACGTCGGCACAGGTGAGAGTGAAATTTATTCATGTAAACTAGTTTTCAGCCCTTTTAAATGTCCTGCTTCTTGGAGAATGTTGAAAAAAAAACACTTTGAATCCTGTGTGACGTTTTAATTTCACTTTAATCTATTGTCCACCAGTTATTTACCGGGGAAAGAGAAGTGTCGACTAATAAACGGTAAGTTCAAACTTTGTTTAGACCCAAAACATCCAGGAATCAAGCAGCTTGTGTCTGTCAAGATGAGAATCAACCAGATTTTATTTATATAGCATGTTCCACAGAAGCCCGTGGCACTGAACAGTACTTAAACAAAAGGACACGCCACAAGGGTAAAAGTTAATAAAACAGTTAAAACAGGATTAAAAGACATTCTCAGAGTCAAAAGAACACTTCTACAATCAGAAAATTATCACTAATTTAAATGGAAAAAGTGCATTAGTGAAAACTTGCTGAAACATAACAAATTATTTTAAAAAAAATGATACCAAAACTATTTTTATTCAAACATAATTTCATCTTAAATCAGACTTGATAAACAGTTAAGTTCTGTGGTCCAGAGTGTGTTCTTTCATTTGCGTGTTCTTAGTAAAGTCAAGCCCTATTTACCACTCAAAGACATTGAAGAGACATTGAAAAGGTTATACACCTGCTAATCATGTCGAGACTAGACTACTGCAACGCTCTTTATCATGGACTGGAGCGGTCGTCAATTCACCGCTTGCAGGTGGCTCAGAATGCGGCGGCCCGCTTGCTGACAGGTAGGAGGCGCAGGGATCACATAACACCAGTCTTACAAGCTCTTCACTGGCTCCCCATCACTTACAGGATTCAATTTAAAATGCTACTGATCTGTTTTAAGGCACAACACAGTTTGGCCCCTCCTTATCTGTCGTAACTTTTAAACGCTCATGTCCCCAAACGAAACCTCCGATCATCCTCTCTACATCTTTTATCTGTTCCCAAGTCTAGGCTGAAGTCCAGAGGCAACAGAGCCTTTTCTGTGGCCGCTCCCAAGCTCTGGAACAGCCTTCCCCTACAGCAGGGGTGCCCAATCCTGGTCCTCGAGGGCCGGTATCCAGCTTGTTTTCGTTTTAATTCTGCTTCAACACACCTGATTTCAATCAGCATGTGATTAACAGGCTTCTGCAGAGCCTGATGAGATGCTGCACAGGTGATTCAACCAGTTAATCAAGTGTGTTGGAGCAGAAAAACCACAAAACCTGCTGGATACCGGCCCTCCAGGACCAGGATTGGGCACTCCTGCCCTACAGATTAGGTCTGCTGACAGTCTTTCTGCTTTTAAGTCTCTTTTTAAAACCTACCTTTTTACCCTTGCTTTTAACTGATTTTATAGTTACGTAATTTTAGGGCCTACTGGAAGGCTCTCAGTGCTTTATCATTTTATTTTTACTGCTTGTCTGTGTGTACAGCACTTTGTGCAGTCTCTGATTGTTGGAAATGTGCTATATAAATAAACTTGACATTGACAGACCAAATTCAGTTTTATTCAAGATGTTTATTTATTTATTTAACCTCTATCTAACCAGATGAGTTGAAAGAGAACTCATTCTCATTTACAACGACGATCTGGCCAAGAGCCAGATTTTATTTGTTTTAGTTTCAATGAAATTATGTAAAAAAAATCTCATTCTGATTTTATTTATGTAAAAAAAATAAGAAAATGTATTCCGACGTTTTGCAGATTTGATTTTTCTCTTCCTCACAGATGCAACTCAACTCCTCTTCCTCCGGCACAAGCCCTTCTCTACTGGAATGAAGCATGATTGTGGTTTAGCTAAATCAAGTTCGTGTCCATGATGCATATTTTAAGACGTAGCTTACTTTGAAGTTGCATTAATATTTCAGGTCTGCGCAAAAGCATCAGATTGGATTTATGGTTTATTAAACCATTAAATAAGAACAAATGTTTAAAAGTTCTCCTCAGATTGCTTATAATGAGACATACGCATGATAGAAAAACATACATTTGTGTCTAATCGGGGAAAAAATGTACAAAACTTGACATATTGGGAAAAAGCAATGCAAAAAGAAAGACAGCTAGTTAAAACACATCATAACATAAATGTAGTTGTTTCATCCCCAAGTGGGCGGCCTCCTGATGAAGCGGAGATCTCAGGTGAAGTCAGGTGTGTGAAATGTGTCACCCAAAAGGCCCGATGCATTTTTCACAATAATAAACAATGCAAGCATCACTTGTGAGTTCTGTGGTTTATGTGTAATCAGTTTTTGAATCAATAAAGAGATCAGAGTTCTGATTTACTTATAAAAGAATTTTATCAGTATTACATAATTCTACACCTCTACAGTCCAACGCAGGGCAGTGTAGACAAACCCAAGGTCACACCAAGAGACAGTATAGTCTCCAGTCTACAACATGAATGTTTTTGGTCTGTGGGATGAAACTGGGGTACCCAGAGAAAAACCACTCACACATGGGGAAAACATGCAAACCGAACACAGACAGGTCGTGCAACAAGGTCTCAGAACCCGTGAACTTCCTGCTGCAAATCAAATCAAAGCTTTATTTATAAAGCGCCTTCCGCAACCCTGTCAGGAAGCCCAAGGCGCTGAACATGGTACAGTACAAAGTTAAAGAAAGTGAATAAATCAGAAAATAAAAGCAATTCAAATTACAGATTACAAATTACAAAAAAGGTGAAACATTCTAGTAGAAGACAAATGTGTAAAACAAGGGAAAAAGTGAACCAATGAAAACTGAGATAAAATCAACATAAAAAAGGGACAAATTCAAACACATTCAAGGAACGCCAAGCGGAGGAGGTGGGTTTTTAGGCGACTCTTGAAGACTGGCAGAGATGGGGACCGCCTAACTGAGGGTGGCAACTGGTTCCATAGTGACGGTGCTAGGACTGAGAAAGCCCGGTCCCCGCGAGTACGACACCTAGAACGAGGGACAACGAGCAGGCCTTGGTCAGAGGAGCGCAGAGCGCATGATGGGGAATGTCTGGTCAAGAGCATGGCCAGATAGGGGGGAGCACCACCCTGGAAGAAATTAAAAACAAAGATGAGGAGTCTGAAGTGTGAACGATAGCAAACCGGAAGCCAGTGCAGGGAGGTCAGAACCGGACTGATGTGGTCCCGTTTCCTGGTCCCAGTCAGGAACCTGGCTGCGCTGTTCTGCACAACCTGTAGGCGACGCAGTGATGCTGCAAGGCAACAGTGCTATGCATCACCTTGCAAGGAACAGTTAGTCTTCTTTAGCAAGACTAAAAGTGCAGACCTCCTAACTCCAAGTTACCCGTGTTTGCATTGACCCAAAAGCTTGTTTGGCATCATTCATTTTCCTTTGTTTTATGATGAGCCGACGCGGCCCTTTTTATTTCCACAGCCCAAGTTTCTGTTGGCTAAAGTCCCTACATAACTGAAAGGAGGATTTTCTGTGTCACTCACGGTGAACGGAGCAGGTCACAATAACAATACTGTGACATTCTTGTGGGAATAGTTTCCATTCATGGCTGATACGTGGAACATGACTGAGCCAAAGAGATGATATAGGAGATAAACATCTCCAAGTGATGAAACTTCTGGGAAACCAGAAGAGCATCAGAGAGCTTCGATCCTGCAAAGGTCAAAAGTTCAGGTTTAGAGTTACTTTATTGCACTTTTCTTGTAAACTTTACTTAAAATTCTTTATTTCCAACATTGTCCAAACATTCTAAGATTAGGAAGACCAATAAAAGACAATCCAAAACATGAAATGATGGGTATTTAACTGTGTTTTGATGATTAATGATCATTTTTTTAAACATTTTGTGCTTCAGTATTTCTTACTTGAAGCAAACAAAATCCAATCTAGTTTTCTGCCTTGTGAAAACTTAAGGGACTAATTAGCGGCACTGTGTTAATGCATGGGACACATTTGTTGATACGCTATCACAGAAATCAAACTTTTTTGAAGCGAGTCTGTTGAAATCAATCTCTAGAAACTCCCTGATTTTACTGGACGGCTTCCTCATTGGCTTTGTATGGATAGAACAAACACTCACATTTCACTCTGAATGATTTTCTTTGTTATAAAGATGCTCAGAAATTTCCCAGAGTGACTCAGCTGTAAATTATAGACACATTCAGGATCATACAATCATTGCTTTGGTGAAGAAACATTGAACAGCACACTAACAGAGATTCTGCTTGCCTCTCACCACGGACTGGATCTGATCGATGGTTCCAGACCTTCTCACCAGGATTGGACCCCTCGTCCACCCTGCAGTGGCTCCACCTCCCCTGCTTCCTCCACACTAACACAACCATATTAAATATGGTGGAAATGTACAACAAAATTAGGGGTTTCCACAGCTTTTTTTGACAACTTTACTCGGCCACTACTGCTACTCAATATTAATGGCTGTATTTTTATATAATGAGCAAACCCTGTCTCCTATAGGTTCAATAAAATTGAAGACCAGTGGATCATTCCCACCACCGCCATCTTAGCTGCATCACGTGTTTCGTCACTCCCCGGAAAACGCAAAAATTGAGCTGTGAGTGGGGGCAGATGAGTGACACCCAACAAACTCAGAATTGCTGTAGCTACGAGCTAACCGAAGCTACTGGAGGTTGGCAGGCGCTTTCAGCCAGAAAACCACAGCTAGGCAACGCTGCTACCTTCTGCCTTCGAGGCTGTAACACTTTGAATGTAAGGGCGAGGCTGAGGCCTTCCCAGGAGCATTCCACTAGCGCTGACGCTGACGGCTCATCTGCTGTCCGTCAATCAAAAGGACACGCCCATGGACGTAATTTTGGGGGGGACATGTCCGCCCACTTTTTCCAAAGTCAAGTTTTGACCCCTGCACTTTTTACTATCCAAAAACAATATTACACTATACTAAGTTGACACTGGTTGAGCTCTAGGACCAAGCAGAAAACAACCGTTTGTGTTGAAGCCTGTTTCCCATTAGAAGAAGAAGAAGAAGAAGAAGAAGAAAATATCATTTCTATAGCACCTCTCAAGATAAAAATCACGAGGCGCTTCACAAAAAAAAGTAAAAATATAAAAAAGCATTTAGAAAATGTTTAAAAATATATTTAAAATGAGCAAAATTTGGCAATTGGGATTTAAAAGAAAAAATGTTAAGAAAGAGAGAGATTGAATAGGAAAGAGGGAAGTCAGTGGATCCTGAGGAAGGTGGAATAGGTGGGGAGAGCAGAATAAAGAAAGAGGGGTTGAAGAAGGTCATACAAAAGGCAGCTTGACCAGGTGAGTTTTCAGCTGCTTTTTAAAGGAGACCACTGAGTCCACTGATCTCAGGCTCAGGGGGAGGGAGTTCCAGAGTCTGGGGGCCACAGCAGCAAATGATCTGTCACCTTTGGTCTTTAGCCTGGTGCTACACAACCAGTAGGCTTTGGTCACTGGACCTCAGGGACCTTCTGGGGGTGTAGGGCCTAAGAAGATCACCAATGTAAGATGGTGCTTGCCCATGTAAGGCCCTATAGACCAGAACTAGGATCTTGAAATGAACCCTGAAGTTGAGTGGCAGCCAGTGAAGCTGGAAGAGAAGCGGGGTGATGTGGGTGTGTTTGGAGGACTTGGTCAGAAGCCGAGCACAGGCATTCTGAACCACCTGTAGACGGTTCAGGGAGGCTCTGCTCAGACACGTGAAAAGAGAGTTACAGTAGTCTAAGTGTGAGGAGATGAAGGTGTGGAGAACTGTCTCAAGTTCAGAGCGGGACAGAATGGGACTCAGCTTAGCAATGTTCCTGAGATGGAAGAAGGAAGAGCGAACAAGAGAACTGACATGAGAATCCAGGGTGAGAGCTGGATCAAAGGTCACGCCAAGATTCCTGACAGAACGTTTGGTGTGGGAAGCAAGCTGACCAAGAGAGTCTCTGACTTTGGGAACCAGCTTGTCTGGGGCACAGATGAGGATCTCAGTCTTATCTTCATTCAGCTGTAGAAAACTCCCAGCCATCCAGGTTTTGATAAGAGTCTAAGCAGGTGTGTAACAGCTGCAGCTTAGACATCTCATGGGGCTTAAAGGAGATGTACAGTTGGATGTCATCTGCATAAAGATGGTAGGAGATTCCTTTGAAGGAGCTCAGGATGTGCTGAAGAGGAAGCAGATAGAGGAGGAAGAGCAGAGGCCCCAGCACAGAACCTTGTAGGACACCATGGGTTGGACAATGTGTTTTGTATCTGAAATGCTAATTAGAGCATACTGTAAAGATCCCCCCCCCCCCCCCCCGTGTCCCCCCCACTTCTAAAGCGAAAATGACGTCCATGGACACACCCCTAAATATTCATAACGGCATCTAAAAGGACGAATTACAAAAACCTTCCCACCCCTCAGAGTCGTTGTTACAGTAAACGTGATAAATTAAACCTTAAATGTTTTTTGAACCAGTCTGTAAACATGTTTATTGAAGTGAAGTTGGTTTTTTAACGTGAGAGTCAATAGGGAGCCTAAAGCACACGAGAGCAATCTGCTGAGCAAACGGCCTCGAATGACCATCAGCAGATTGCTCACCGTGTGCGCCTGATTTTCACTGAGTTTTCCGCCTCACGAGATGCTGAGCCGAATATCTGACCAGTCAGATATTTTACACCTCACGGGGGGGTAGAAACTTATCGTGTGCGCGCTGCGTGAGTTGCCAGCTGAGCTGAACTATTCTAGTGGCCAATCAAAGTGTGTTCTCCGCTCACATGACCCCCATGATGTATTCAGATGCAGCCCCCTGCCCTGTCTGCGTGTCAGAAAAATAAACAAAACGGTACAGCAAATAGTCATTCGAGGCCATTTGCTCAGCAGATTTCTCTCGTGTGCTGCAGGCTTAAGTCTGCCCCGTTTCCTGTCGGCTCACGGGTCCCCGGAAAAACAAAAAAGGAATGCATGTCAATGGGACTAAACGAGCTATTGTCTGATCGGCTTTGCCTTAAGCCGGGCGTACACTGTGCGACTTTTTCACTTTTTTGAGCTGATTTTCCACTCGTGCGAGAATCCACAAGATCGGGGCAAGTTTTGCGCCGAGCGGTCGTGTAGTGTACAGGGGGTTACGAGAGGCGATTAACACCACGTGACCAGCTACCGATCAGCAATCGTGAGCTCGCACAGACTTCTGGCGTGTTTAATATTTCGCTCGTCCCTCATGAGGGTATCGCACTGTTGAAGCGGCGCTGCCCAAAATGTATCAGAACCGCTCACGGCACATGCGCAATCCTGCAACAACACCGCTCGCCCGCTATTTCCCTAATAACACACGTTGTTCATTTTTATTTCTACACGTTTTTTTACTCACAAATATTGTCAATAAAGCGTGTTTGTCATGTTCATGTCAAATTAAACTGATCACAAAACACAGATTTACTTTCTTTATTTCAGTTTCCTCATCCAACCCCCATAAATCCCTGTGAGTCCTCCTGCAGCACTCCCG